CCCCCCCCCACGGCTTCAAAGCCTGAGCTTCAGCCCATGCCACAACGTCTACGGCTACTCCTAGCATGGCGGCCCGACCCTTGCAAGCCTGGACCCGGACTCTGAGACGCGTTGCCGCAGGCTGCCCCTCGACATACCTCCTGTGTCCGTACCCCTGTCTGTGCGTCTCCGCATGTCCGTGGCCCTGCCTTAGGGCTGCTCTCTGGCTGAGTGACGGGGTGACCCGTGCTCCGGCTGGGCCCCTAAAGGCTCCCCTTTCCCTCCTCTGCACAGCAGGAGATGCAGGCTGTGGATCACCAGCTGGCGCGGCAGCTGATGCGGCTGCGGGGGCAGATTCACCAGCTGAAGGTGGAGCAGGTGTGCCACCAGCACAAGGAGATGCTGGACAATGCCACCTTTGGCCTGGAGGGCTGTGAGGAGGACACAGACCTGCTCTGCAACATTCCGCCCAAGGCCGCCTTCTTGCTCTCCACGCCACTCAAGCACATTGGCGTCACGCGCATGAACATCAACTCCCGGCGCTTCTCCCTCTGCTGAGGGCCCTGGCCTCCTGCCCAGGGCTGTTTGGGCAGGGCACCTCTTCACGGCAGGGAGCATTAGCAGGGACCCCTCGCCGCGCCCCAAACTTGGCCCATGTGCATGCGCATACCTAGAAGCTCAGGCTGAAGGCTCAGGTCCTGAGCTGGTGGGTCGGGTTATATACAGGCCAGCGTAGTGTTCAGCCCAGTTACAGTGGCCGAGGGAAGTGGTGAGTGTACAGCGTATTCCCCCCTCCCTGATGATTGGTGTTGCAGGTCTGTGGGCTAGCAGGGCTGCCACCTCCCATCTGATGCCGCAGCCTGCCACCTGACCCTCTCCTGCCATTCACAGCCGCCTCTGGTGAGTCCCTGCAGCGTCCCGCGCTGGATACCGCAGCCAGCTAGAAACCAAACCTGACCGAACCGAGGCTGGGCTAACGCGCTGCATGGATTGCCTGGCACCAGAGGTGCAGAGACCTGCCAAGTCTGCAGTGCTGAGTCCCCCAGGCCCAGGTGGAGCTCAGCGCGGCCCCTTGAGGAACCGGAGCCTGTGACTGGTTTCAGTCCCCGCAGCAGCCATGCTACCCCTTCTGGGCCTGCCTTGCAAAGACAGGTGGGTGGGGTCCGTGGAGCCCACATACCCCACCCCTCCAACGCCAGTAGCATATCTCTGGCCAGGGGCCAGTCCCTCCTCAGCCAGCTCTGTCCTAGCTTAGGAAGCAGCGTCTGTAACGCACAGCGCTATGCACGTACGTTAACCCCGGAGTCACACTTCCCTAACGCTGCGGGGCCAGAGGTGCACAGGCTGCAGTGGCAGGTGCTGGCAGAGAGGGGGCAGGGTTTGGTGAGCAGCTCGGTGAGTTCTCCGCAGCCTGTGAGCCTCATGGCTCAGCTGGGTGGGGGAGAGGGGGCGGTCTAAGGCATCTGTGATGCACGTCACGCTGCTGGGTCCCATTCGCTGCTGCAGAAAACCCAAGAAAAAGTTTCCGTGCAGAAATAAAAGACGGCGTCTGCAAAGGTGTCCTTGTTTCCTTCTGTCTCTCACACACAGTTCGGCCTGGCTCTATCCCCAGACACATGTCTGATCAGGGACACGCACACAGTCAGTTCCCTTCGACCTGCAGACGCATATATGATCTGGGACACTGACAAACGGGGCCTCCTCGCTCAGACCCACCCACCCACCCACAGACAGAAACACACAGGCCAGGTGGAAACACACAATGAGGGAGAACTGCCTTGACTCAGCCTCTGACCAGCCGTCTCTTCCGATTCGGGCTGCTCGGTCTATCCATCCTTGACCATGCTGGCAAGTGGTTTTGCGCTCTTGCCTGTCCCCATTCAACGGCGCTGTTTTGGGCAGCCTTCTAACGAGCGGTGAGAACATTGGGTTTGTCGCTCTCACTTCCGCTGGGTGTTGTTGTTTCCACTCGGTTTAGCTGAGGCCTCAGATGAGACAGGCGCCCACTTCACAGTGAACCTATGAGCAGCCCTGCCTAGCCAGGGGCCTTTTCTCCTCTATGTGCAAATAGGCATGTTGGTTGTGGTCCATGTTTCACTTCTTGCTGTCTCCTCGTGCGATCATCCCTGAAGACACTGGCAGTTTTCCCCTGGAACTTTTTACAGGAATATCTGGAATCTCCGGGAGGGTCATTTTCAGGGGAACATTCGTTTTTACAATTACAATGGATAAAAAATTTGCACTCATCCAACGATCTCAGAGCACTTTACAAATTCTATTCAAACCAGCTGAGATTGGTCAGTATCATTCTGCCTATTTTAGATATAGGGAGAATGAGGCACAGAGATAGGGCATGACTTGCTCCAAAGACACGCAGCAAACCAGTGGCAGAGCTGGGAAGAGAATCTAGGAGCTGGTTCTCTTCTCAAACCATTAAACTACCCCCTCTTCCCAGAGCCAGGAATTGAAACCAGGAGTCTTGTCTCCAAGTGCCCCGCTCAAAACATAACAGCACATTATCTCTGTTAGAACCAAGAGCTCGGAGTTGCACGGAAGGATCTCATTAAGTGATCATTATACTCACAATATTCAACAGAAATAAAGGAAGATTTCCTGAACTGAATAATAATGAGAGCTAGTTGACATTTTTAATACAATAAGTTTTTTTTTAATTAAAATGTTGGGTTGTTCTTTTTAAATCTTTTGCAAAAAAAAATGGTTAATGTTAGTGACATTTTTAGTTTTATGTGAAAGCCTAGTTTTGACAGTTTTTCTCAAAATTGTTATCAGTAAATAAAAAATGTTGATCACCATTTTGCTAACCTTTCCAGTAATGTTTTCCATTTAAAAAAAAATCAGGACAATTTCTGAAAAAGTGGGTCCATTTCAAACCTTTCCAAAACTAAACAGAAAAACACACAGAAAACTTGAAATGTTTGCAGAACTACTGTTTAATTTTTTGGCCGGCAGTAAATAATAATAATGAATTGGCATCAGCTGTTTTTACAGCACCTTTTGTTCTAAAAGCTCCTAAAGCCCTTTGCAAACCATATCCAAGAGACGAGCACTCCAAGCACCACTGAATTGCAGCCTTCTTTGGGGTGAGGCCAGGACTTCAGGCAGTGGTTTGAAAAAACACAGCGACATTATACAATACTTTAGGACAGGAAGTCAAGATCTTGTCACACTTGCAGGGGAAATTAGGGCTGCAGAATGTAATTATATCAGCTGGAATCTGGCCAGAGCTCAATGTTAGCATCTCTGCTGGGTAAAAAGATCAGGAGTACTTGTGGCACCTTAGAGACTAACAAATTTATTAGAGCATAAGCTTTCGTGGGCTACAGCTCACTTCTTCGGATGCATAAAGAAGTGGGCTGTAGCC